ATGGTGAAAGCTTTGGACCAGATATCAGTGATAAGAACATTCAAGCATCCTTAAATTCTGAAGTTGAAAGTTGTACAACCGACCATAGTAACAACACTGATCAAAATGTTTTGAACTCTGAAAGTGAAACTTCTGCACATTGTGACAATGCCAGTAACAGTGCCATCCAAGCACCCCAGGATAGTGAAGAAAATGACCTCCATTGGTCAAGTGAAACTAAAGGCCAGAACAGTAAGACTGGAAGTTCTCTGTGTGATACTAGCAATAAGAACATACAGGCATCTTTGACCTCTGAAGGTCACAGCTGTACACACGATTCCAGCAACAGCTGTGATGGATTGTCTTTGAATGCTGAAGATGAAAAAATTAGCGTCAGTAATGTTGTTAGAAAAGAAGAACCTCTTGTTTCTGGTTTAAATGATGATCTAAGTAGTCACAATGATAAAAATAGCTCTGAGTCTTCAATTTCAGAACAGGAATTATCTATAGAAGACAAAAGTCTACAGGTGTCTTTGAACTCAACACAGGGTGATCTCAGTGAAAAACAGGAAACTGAAATGGCAGATGGCGATCTGCCTGCATCCGTCCATTCAGAGCTTGGATTTGTAACTGCTGATTCACTAACATCAGCAGATTCTGTTGGAAATGAGAGCAAGCAGAAACAGGTTTCTGTAGAAGATGAAGCACCTTCTGAACTTTGTGCAGCCAAGACCCCACTGTCTGCCATTACTGAAATCACTTCAAATGACGAAGTCTGCCAAAACAGTCATCTAGATTTTTCAGTTGATAATCAAAATTCTTCAACTAACGGTGAGAAATGTCAGGCCTTATATGACTCCAGTATACCCACAGAATTGTCAGAGACCCCTGAACTTGTAGCCAGCGGATCCTCTTCTAATGAGAGCTTTGATAATTCAGAACCAGTAGATCCAAATGTTAAGCTTTCTTCCACTGTCAGAGACTCTACGTCCAGTGTGGAAGGGTCATTAAACTTGAGCCCTATTGACCGTCAATCAGATGACCAGTCTGGGAATTGTAAAGGTGAAAAAGATCAAGGTAGGAGTTTGGCTTTTTTAATTTTTTAATTATATTTTTATTTTACTTTTTTAATTAATTTTTTTTTCCAAATTGCCATATTATGTTCATATTTTTGTTAATTACAGAAAGAGTAAGACCAGTTGCTAATAATTTTTGGTCTTACTTTTGCCTGTCTTATTCATGTTGCAATTTGACCACTAATATTGCATTCTTTCATCAATTAATAAATATTGTTTTACTATGCGAAATATCCTGAATTTCTCACTCTGTGATGACCATTATGATATTAATTTAACTCCATCTTTTGTGTCTTTCAGTACAGGGGGAAAGTCTGGATGACATGTTCAGTCAGATGGCTTCCAAGTTGGGCTGGTTAGATGATGGAGATTTAGACTCTGCAATACAAGAGGTAATACAATAAATGAAAGTATTGGGTGACTAAGAAGATAACTGAAGTATTTTATAGTTTTAAAAACACAAAAATAACTGGAAGGTGTATGCTGTAATTTGTGAGAATTGTTTGCTAGTAAAGAAGTTACAAATTTTTATATTCATATTAACTGCAGAGTGATGACACTGTATAACTTTTACTTGGATTTTAGCTTGAAGCAAAAGTAAGAGGTAAAAAATGCAGCAAGTTAACAACAAAGAAAAAAGGAAACAAAAGCAAATCAAAAAGTACTAGTTTGAAGGAGTCCATGAACTCAGCCAATCAGGACACCACTTCACAGTCATGTGACTTCAAAGCTCCTTCCACTGTGCAGGATAAAAGATCAAAGAAATCCAAAAAGGCCACCTCTGCCAAGACTACAGGAAAAGTGCACAAGCTAAGAAAAAGAACAAAGAAGGAAGAAGAAAAGTCTGAGTTGCCTTTGGCATGTCAACTTTTTCCACAATCCAAGAAAATTGCTGTTGATGACGAAGAGGATGTCAAGATGGAGTTGGATTCCACAGACAATGGACCCCATGCTTTAGAGAGTCAAGGAAATAGAGCCACTTTGGAATCAACTTGCAAAACAGACAAAAGCCTCCAGGTGTCCTTGTGCTCTGAAAATGAAAGAGGAAATTCTACAGAGGATTCCAGTATCAATTGTATACCAGATACCCTACAGCCTAAAAATGACCGAGCTAGATCTGTTCAGGACCAAAGTGAAGACTGTATACCAGATTCCTTGGCCCCTAAAGAAGAGGGTACAACCTCCCTCCTGAGTACCAGCAAAGAGGTGGTACCTGACACCTTACAGTCAAAGAATGGGAGTTTCACCATACCAGGTGATTCCAGTGCCAAGTTTGTCCAAGATTCCTTCTGCTCAGAAGACGTGGATTCTTCTAAAATCAATAATGACATGGGTGTTCAAGAATCACTTGACTTAGAGGATGGCATTGCCTCAGATGAGGCTAACCAGAGATATGAATTAGATTTGAACAGGTATAACCCTAATGAAAGTCCCCAACATGACAGTGGCACCCATCCTTCAGTGGCTTCTAGAAATTTACCAACAGCACATGAGGCATCCTATGACACCCAAGATGCTGGCAAAATTCCTGAATCATCTGTAAAATCGAGCTATAGACTCGACTTCAGTGGAGTGGAAATGGGGCAACACCTTGCTTCACACTTTAATCGCAGAAAGCCTCGCATATCAGTGTATCATGATGCCCTGGATGTGGTCCCACCAACGTACAGTTCAGAGGCAAGTAGCAATGAGGAGAACACATTTCAGGATGCCTTTGACACTGTGACAGGTGACCCAGAAAGAGGGCATGGTGACAGTGAGACAAATGGCATGAAACAAGAGAATGACAACTGTGTAATAGATGACAAGGGGCTGGATGATGAAAACAGTGTGACAGGTAACAAGGAACGGGAGAATGACGATAAAGGCAGAAGAAATACTACCCTGGAGATTTCTCCAAATGAATTTGAAGGTTCTGCGTCTGGGAAAGCAGTGAATATGGACCTTAATCAGCTACAAGGTGGTCAACAGAAAAGCAATCTGGGTCATGTATCCGATGTTTCAAGTGACAGTTCCAGCCCATGTGAAAAGTCTGTGTTGTCCATAAGTGACAGTTTTGAGAATTTGAAAATACCAAAGAGAGAGAAAAAGAAGATTAAACCCCATGAAGCATTAAACCCTCATTTGAAGAAGAAGCAATCCAAATATAACAAGATATCCGATGATTGTGACACTGGAATGGTGCTTACTGATGACGAAAGTGACAACAGTTTAGATGATGTTAGTAGTGTTGTGGATAGAATCAATGGGTTTGATAATCATGTAAATAAAGTTGACAGTGAACAGAATGAATTTCAAGATGCAGTTCATATGGACAGTCGGAAAGAGGAGTTGAAACATGTTGAAGAAAAAGCATCTCAGGCTGATGATTTAAGTGATCTCTCAGAGTCTGACCTCTCCTCAGTTTCTCTTCAAGAACCAACTACCAACAAGATCACCTCTGTTACTCAAAATTCTACTCAAGATACCCCAAAGTGTGCAGTAAGGGCAAGGAGTTCCAGGTATGTTTTATTTAGTACCGTCTTCATGTTTAGGTGTAGGGGCAATTCTTTAAGCGAAATATGCTGCAACACACATTTTATTACTAGTATGCATTTTTTTTCTCTTCCACAAAAAGTGATTTTCTGAGTCCTTACTGATGCACACATTTTGTGTTATATTTGCATAACTGTTTGACATACCTACTGTTGTTGTTTTTTTCCAAATTAAAAGTCACGTTTTTGTGATTGACTTTAATTTTTTGAAAATTATTTCCCTTACAATGAATATACAGTAGTTTTCTCAAAATGGCATTTGTTAGGTGTATTATACAGTCATGCTGTTCAGTCACAAGTGTCGTTTTTGTTAATATGGTATAAAAAGATGCATATACTTTTTTGTTGTCTTGTGCATTTTGTAAACTTGTTAATAAACTGTTTCATTTTTTTTCACCAGGACTGTACATCATGACAGTGCCTCCAGTGATGATGAAGCATTAGAATCATGTAAGGATACTATAAATTGCAATGAATAATGATATCTTTTCCTAGCTGTCTCAAGGTTAATACATGGTATCATATTTAAAGTTTTCAGTGTAATTAACAAAAATGATATCATGACTTATCCTGAAATGAACATACAGCCAGGTGAATTAAGTGTTATATTGTTTAAATTGCATGATGTGATCTTTGGTTGTTTGGCTCGACTTAGTAAAAATGTTCGATATGATAGTTAATATGCAAGGCATTGTATTTATGATATGTTCTTTATATTTCCAGTCTTTTCAAAGATGAAAACCCCAGTTAAGCCAAAACATGTATCTCAGGCTAGGTAAAAAACATATATACAGTCAGGTTTTTATACGTTTTTTACTTTCTATACTGTTTTTTCCCCTTAAAGTTTAAATATTGAGTTTATCAATTTAATAAACTGATATTCTGTTACCAAGCTATGCTTTGGCAAGTAAAAACAAATTGGCAACAAAAAATTGTAAATGATTTTAACATTTGCCAGTATTTTATTATAATCATGATGTACTCATTAGCATAAGGTATGAATGTACTCAGAAAACCTCATTAATCTTCACGATATTCCTGTTTGCATGAACTATGTTTTATTTTTTCAACTTTTAAGACTTACAACTAATTAACAATGCACTTACTTTAATTTTTGTTTCAGTTTGGAAGAGTTTATCATCTCAGATTCAGACATGAGTAGTGACTCTGATGATAGCACTTTCTACAATTACACTGACAGCTTGCTGAATCGTATCACCAGCAGAAGCACTGGGAAAGGAAAGAGGAAGACAACATCAAAGGTAAAAACCAGGGGCGGACAGAGGACATCTTAAAGGGTCTTCTGGAAGATGGTCAGAATGTTTTAAGTTCACTCTGACAGGATTTTTTTTTTTTTTTTTTTTTTTTTTTTTTTTTTTTTTTTTTTTTTTTTTAAAAACTTTCAAAAATGGGGAAAAATGAAATGGGTCAACTAAGAACATTTGGAAGACTGTCAGAAATTGTGTCTGGATCTGCCCCTGTAAACCATGGTTCTATGTAATTTAAACATAGACTTGTTACATTTATGTTTATAAATAAAGCGATGAGTGTCTTTTATGTCACTAAAAATAATTGTNACAGCTTCAGTAGGCAATGCAGTCTGTTTGGTAATTTTTTCTGGCAGTTAAACAGTTTTTTGTGAAAGTTTAATTTTTCACTTATTGGCATTTTCAAGGTGTGACTTTGAAGTTCCATGATCCTGAAGACCTTTGCTTGTCACGTTTTCTGAATGTCCATGTTACTAATATTCTATTATTAAAAATTGATGGTCATTATGCTGCTAAGCATTATGTAATGTTGCATCAAAATAGAAGAAAACACAATTTTTGGTGCTGCTGCCATGATGACCATTATGGGAAAACCGTGTTCTGACTGTCAAACCTTTAAAAAAGAAACACAGGACTATAATGCAGAAATGAGTTGGAAAAGCAGTCTAATTGGCTTCTTTTTCTGGAAGTTATACATTTGAGTGAAATATTCATTATCTTTTTGGCATATTCAATGTGGGACTCGGAGCTCCCATGGACATGAAGCCGAATGGTAATCAAATTTTCTACATGTCCATGCTATTTATTGTCAATAATCAAAAATTGGTGATAATTATTCTATTATTTATTATGTAATGTTACATCAAAATTGACAATATTTTTGCATTGCTACTGCAAACATTATGAAAAGAAAACTGTGTTACTTATTATTATTTTTAACTTACAAGTATGATTTTTAGGATTGGCATGCAGTTCAAATTAGAAAGCCAAGTCAATTGGGTTATCATTTATTATTGAATATATGCAATTTTGTGTGAAATTTTCATTTTTCTCATTCTGGCACTTTCTAAGTATAAACTTGAACTCTGATGGGCCTGAAGCCTTATGCTTTTACTTTCGTTGTTGTTACCTGTTGTGCATAATTAAAATTTGATATTGACTGTGCAGTAAAACATAATGTATTATTGCATCAGAATTGGTAGTCTCCTATTTTGTGCATTACTGTTTTGTGCTTTTCTTAAGATGAGAGGGTCAGTCTGTTAAAATCCCTTGGGTATCACTTAGCTAATTTCTGAGTTATAAAGTCATTTGCCTAATTGATAGGCCATTAAAGGAGATTACATAAAGCACACTTGTTGATATTCCCTTGTAAACTCCCAAAAGTTAAGCTCTGCTATATATATATATATATATATATATATATATATATATATATATATATATATATATATATATATATATATTTAATCAAAGATTAAAAGTTTGAATTGCAGCTTCATTGAAATTATATTTACCTCAGGCTCTGCCAAGGAGGTTATATTTTCACCCTTGTTTGTCTGTCATCAACATAACTCAAAAAGTTATAGACCGATTTTGTTGAAATTTTCAGGAACTGTCAGAATTGGGCCAAAGAGGACAATGGTTAGTTTTTAGTGGTGGTCTGGGTCAATAATCAATCAATAATAATCAACAATTGCTGCCTTGGCAGAGGTCTGCACTCTCGGTGGTTGTTATGTTTTCCTTTACAATTTTTTCTCAAACACTTGCATTTGTGACTTTTAACTCTCATCCACTCGAGGCTCTGCACATTTTCTGTATTTCCACATAAGCAATTGTATTGTTTTTTATGTCTTTAAACATTATATAATATTATTTTATGCACTGTCATCATTTTTCAAATATTGAGACTTTCATCATGTGACTTTGGTCTCTCATGGTCCGGAAACTGTAATCTTATTGAAGGGGTGGATTGAGACCATCTTCTGGGTCTTCTGGAAGACAGGTTATTAAGTTTATATTGACTGGTATCTATTTTTTTCTGTTGGAAGACCATCAAAATGGAGGATGAATCAACATAGATACTTTGGAATACTGTCAGAAAACATCTCAAGGTCCTCTCCTGTTATTGACCATGTTACCTGTTGTGCATGATTAAAATTCAGTGTTGACTGACAGTGCTATTATAAGCATTATTTATTATTGCATCAAAATTGACAAAATGACCTTTTTTTGCATCTTTATTTTCTGTTTTTTGTCTGTACATTTGACAGCTTTGCTGCCTTGTTTATAGTAGCTGTGAATTTTAGGAAAAAAATTCAACCTCAATAAAATCAGCACTAAAAGCATGATATTGTTTAGTAACACCATTCATGTCTCGGGGGAATTTTAAATGTTACAGTTGCCCAAAGATTTGAACATCCTGTGGAACAAAAGACTTCTGAAGACTGCTGGATACTGTGCTTACAAAAGAGTTAAAGGAGGAACAGCAGAGGAAAGGACAGCTAGGATTGAACTGTCAGATAAAGTTTGTGATTCTGCAGGTAACATGCTGTTAAATTATTGAAATTATTCCTCAGTTTGCCCTTTTATTTATTTTATTACTTTTGGTTATATTTGTTTAAATGATCTTTTAAAAATGTTGTTTTTACGATTATTACATGTAGTAATTGATAAGAAGAAAATGAAAGAGTGGTGTTTCGCAATCATTTTAAAGCAAATACCAGAGTTCTGTATCTTGTTCAACAACATATCCTGGGTATAAAGATAAATCTCTCTCTTCCAGAGCGAGTGAGAAATACCCTGATACATGAGATGTGTCATGCAGCAGTCTGGTTGTTAAATGGTAAAAATGATGGACATGGACCATACTGGAAATACTGGTGAGAGAAAAAGGATTAATTTTATTTTAATTTGGTTTGAAAAAAAAATTGGAGATGAAGGTAACAAATTTTCAAAGAGAGTCCAAACTGAATTTAATTTTTCTTATGCTTTGTATAAAAGCTCTTTCATATATAATGTTGTATTGTATAGTCTAGTACTTTATCCACACAACTGGTATAATATTATAGCTTACCTGGGCTTTTGGAGACCATGTATGCTGCTTACACAGGGATGTTACTGAAATTGGGAGAAGCTGTCATGTGTTCCACTTTCACACACACAAACACGCACACACACACACACACACACACACACACAGCCAAATGTATGAGAATTTTCCTAAACTTGTCTTTATTTTCTGACATAAATACAATTTCTCATTCAGTTTGTTCTCTTCCAGGGCCAAGAAGGCCAATGTGGTCCACCCAGATCTTCCAGTGATTTCCAGGTGCCACACATATGCCATACAAACCAAGTACACCTACAGGTGTACCAACTGTAGCTACCAGTAAGTTACACATAGTCCCTTTTTGCACAGGAATGTTGTTTTAGCTTTAAAATATCCATCAGTGTATCGATGAGTTTCCAGGTGGACATAGATATGATCAGAATTTTTATTTAACTGTTGTGATTTGATGAGCCAAGGGTTTTATAGCATTCAGTTGCAAGTCCATTTCCCCATTTTATGTTATGAATTGTCAATAGAAAACTAGTCATTATTTAATGAAATGAAATAATATTTCATGGGAAGAGCATCATCTAAAAATATGCATGGGGAAAAATTTGTGATACATACTTATAGATACATACTTTTTTCTTTTTATTTATTATTTATTTAATAACTTCAGATTTGGCCGTCACTCCAAGTCACTGGACATAACCAAGAAGGTCTGTGGACACTGCAGAGGGACATTTGAACTGTTAATTAACTCCAAAGATGGCTCCAAGTCCACTCCATCTACAACCAAGGCTCTGACACCATTTGCAAAGTTCGTTAAAGAAAACTATGGCACCATCAAAGCGGGTCAGAAAGGACTCCAGCACAAAGATGTCATGAGGCAGTTAAGTGAACAGTTTGCCAGCTCCAAAATTGCATAGACTGAGATGGAGGCAGTTTCCATTTGATAACATGGCAACATTGCATATTCAGTGATCCCATTCAAAATAGCTTTGTAGTAATTTGCCATATTTGATCCTCGGACTAGTTAGTCCCCTATTCAATGGTGAACTATGCTTAGGGTTAACAAACGCATGTAGACAAAGTGTATTTGACTGCATTCAGAACAGATGATCAGCAGACTAACTGATCCACGGACTAAATATGGCCAATTCCACTTAAAAGAAAAGCCACTTAATACCCTAATGGTCTCCTTGCCTCCCCACACCATCCCTGCAGGGGCCCTGCAATTAAACCTGGAAGCCCAGATTTAATCCATGCGGAGGCGGGGAAACCATTAAGATATAAGGCGGCTTTGCTTTTCAGTGGGGTCAGCCATATTTAGTCCCCAGGCCCCCGTTTCACAAAAAAAACTTAAGTCGGTTTCCCTGACTTAGGGCTTGGTTACCAACGTAATTAAGTCGTTACGTCACTAAGTCCCGTTTCACAAAAAATCTAAAAGGTGGCTTACGTCGATTTTTTCTTAGCTGTAAGTCGACGATGTCAAGCCTCCTCGGGAGGAGACTTAAGTCAGCAAGCTCAACTAAAACTCGGTAAATAAGAGCATAAACAACAAAAATTTGGAAAGAACATACCTCCTTCAAGATATTGTGTTATAATATCCTTGAATAGCACTGACATTTATGGAATATTAAAATAAAAAATAAAATTCCACTTTACCCAGCCGATCGCGTGTTTGTTTATGTTTTTGACCGCTAGACGTCCCTCAGTAGTGTTCCACGACAAGGTAATGTTTAACTGTTACTTTGAAGTTGTATTGAAGTTAAACTAATCAATAAAGTTCAAAAACAAACTTTGTTTGTGTTTTGGCTGACTTTTATTGTTGATAAACGATCGTTCTCGGCCGAAAGAGGCCATGAAACTTGTGAAAGTCTTGTGAAACTTTTGCAATTTTACACCTCCTTTTCTTGAAGAGTTTCTCGTGCGCGTCAACTACGGTAAGCACACCAAGCTAAGACGTTAGATTCTTTGTGAAACACTCCTAGTCGACTTCAGCTAAGTGGACCTAGCTAGGCCACCCAGCTCGAGCTAGTCGACTACGGATTTAAGATTCTTTGTGAAACGGGGGCCAGATCAGTTAGTTTGCGGATCATCTGTTCTGAATGCGGCCTTTGTGTACAGTACTTGGGGTTTTATATTTACTTAATTAAAGTGTATATTATTGTTATTGATGAAACTCAGTGGGGAGAGGGGAGGACATAGTTTATTTTGGAAAGGACTGAGAACCTTTAGATCTAACAGTACACATACCGAGATATCAATACATCAGAAAGAAGAAAGAAAAAAATACGATACCAATCTGTGATTATGTTTAGTGAACAGTCAGCTAGCATGTATATTAGAATGCTGATTGTGTAGCATTATGAAAGAATCTGAGTATCAGTAATCATTTCAACATTTTTGAAAGTAGTTGAAAGAGTTAATTATATGATAAGACCATGTACAGCTGGTTTGTTAGTTTGATGGACTTTTGATGCGTTTTTGGTATGGGAAAGGGGGGGGGGGGGATTGAAGAAATTTCCTTAGTTTTGTGGTAATTTTCTAGTATAATTCCACCAGATATTTTACACAGATGCAAACTCAGAATATTTAATTTTTAAAATAGATGGATTGGAGATTTTGACTGTCTTTTGCTGATGATTTAAGCCAAGTGCACAGTTACAGGCATTGTTGCATTTTCAATTACTTAGAAATTAGTATTTTTGAAGAGGGGTAGCAGTACTAGTACATAACTTTGCTAAAACAACATGAGGCTTTGGGGCATACTATAATTACAAGCTAAGAAACAAAATTTAAGTCAATAACTTTGTGAAAAGGCAGAGAAAATATAATGTTATGAAAACTGCATTTTTATTTTAGATGTGGTTACTTAACTCAATTGATAAATTGAGTGTGTAATTGCCATTGGCTTAAAATGGCACACATTTAAATGTTGTTATAATTGCTAAATGCTGTAAACTAATGTTATTGAGTTCTGAATCATTAAAAGAAATAAATCTTTTTTTTAAAGTTTAAAGAAAAAAATGAAATGTTCACTTTAGAATGGAAATTATATTCCTTAGCAGTATGAGTAGGTTGCCTTTCCTAATCTAGCAGTCTGCCACTGAAATTGCTACACTGGTACTCAAGACCTTCCAACTAACACATTCTCTCTCTCTCTCTCTCTCTCTCTCTCTCTCACACACACACACACAAATATATATAGAGAGAGGAGAGAGAAACATGTTCGTGCATATACACATTAACAAATTAAATTGCTTGCACAAGCGTTACTTCTTAAATGTAAAACTGTGAAGCATTAGTTATACTGCAGTAATTTGCTTTGGCTTTTTGTCTAAGTTGCATTTCTGTAATGTTGTAAGGATGTGAAAAACTATTATATATCAGGTAGATTTTTTTTCTGGGATGTATTTGCACTTCACATTGGTGCAGATTATTTTTAGAAATGATAAAAACTGTGCTATTCTGGGTGGTCATAAAAACATGAATTGAAAGCAATTCCCNACACACACACACACACACACACACACACACACACACACAGAGGCAAATGTAGGAGAATTTTCTTAAACTTATCTATTTTTTCTGGTGTAAATACAAATTTTCATTGAGTTTTTTTTTTTTTTTTCTCTTCCAGGGCTAAGAAGGCCAATGTGGTCCACCCAGATCTTCCAGTGATTTCAAGGTGCCACACATATGCCATCCAAACCAAGTATACATACAGGTGTACCAAGTGCAGCTACCAGTAAGTTACACATAGTCTGTAGCACATCTGTAAATTTTTCACCTTGCGTTGAAATGCTGATTTAAACTGCTGTTGGTTGAAGCATCGTTCATTGTCCAGGTTGAGGCAGTTATCCATGGTTGAAAGTTTTCAAGAATTTCTCCAGATTTTCAGCCTTCATTTTTAATGGTCAAATGCAGTGACAAATTGCATGGTAAATTTTCAGGATTTTTAGTTTTTACAACTTTCAATGCTGTATCTGAGATATCAGTATTTATATTTGGCTGATGCAGAATATTTGTGCTTTGATGAGTCAAGAATTAATTGGATTTAATAGCATATAGTTGCCAGTTCATTTTACATGATGAAAAAGGTTAATATAAAACTAGGATTTTGTTAATGGTGAAAATAAAATGAAATTTAAGAAAACAGCGATGTTTAATAGACTTGTATTAATTTTACAGAGGAAGTAAATCATTAAATGTAACCATTATATTTCATGGAAAGAGCATCACCTAAAATATGCATGGGAAAGAACTTGAGATATACATTATTAATGATACTTAATCTTTTCATTTTTCTGATAACTTCAGATTTGGCCGTCACTCCAAGTCACTGGACATAACCAAGAAGGTCTGTGGTCACTGCAGAGGGACTTTTGAACTGTTAATTAACTCCAAAGATGGCTCAAAGTCCACTCCGTCTACAACCAAGGCTCTGACGCCATTTGCAAAGTTCGTCAAAGAAAACTACGGCATCGTCAAAGGGGGCCAGAAAGGACTCCAGCACAAAGATGTCATGAGGCAGTTAAGTGAACAGTTTGCCAGCTCCAAAATTGCATAGACTGAGATGGAGGCAGTTCCCATTTGATAACATGGCAACATGGCATATTCATTGGTCCCATTCAAAAAAGCTTTGTAGTAATTCATCATATTTGATCCTCGGACTAGTTAGTCCCCTATTCAATGGTGAACTATGCTTAGGGTTAACAAACTCAGGTAGGCAAAGTGTATTTGACAGCATTCAGAACAGACGATCTGCAGACTAACTGATCCGCGGACTAAATATGGCCAATTCCACTTAAAAGAAAAGCCACTTAATACCCTAATGGTCTCCCTGCCTCCCCATACCATCCCTGCAGGGGCCCTGCAATTAAACCTGGAAGCCCAGATTTAATCCATGCGGAGGCGGGGAAACCATTAAGATATAAGGCGGGTTTGCTTTTCAGTGGGGTCAGCCATATTTAGTCCCTGGTTCAGTTAGTTCACGGATCATCTGTTCTGAATGCGGCCTTTGTGTACAGTACTTGGGCTTTCATATTTACTTAAAGGGATAATAACTCTTTGTATGATATCTATATTTCACAATAAAAACATTGTGAATAACTCATATAAATATAATGTATTCTGTTTTACCACAAAAACGGCAGTTATAGGTATTATTCTGATATCCGAGCTTGTCTTTAGACCACGTTACCTCCGATGGCTATACTCTGTTAAAATCTCTTAAGAGATTTTAACAAAAAACCAAACTTTTTAGAAAAAAACCAAGGACTAACTTTGAATGTAAAAATGGATTCATTTACCATTGGTAAGTATGGGAAAATTGTTGTTTACTCCAGGAAAATTCATTTTTTGGCCGAAACAAAGAGTTATTATCACTTTAACTAAAGTGTATATTATTGTTATTGATGAAACTCAGTGGCGAGAGGGGAGGACATAGTTTATTTTGGAAAGGACTGAGAACGTTAAGATCTAACAGTTCACTTACCGAGATATCAATACAACAAATAATGTTCAGAGGAGAAAGAAGAAAGAAAAAAATATGATACAAATTTGTGATTATGTTTAGTGAACAGTCAGCTAGCATGAATATTAGAATGCTGATTGTGTAGCATTATAAAAGAATCTGAGTATCAGTTATCATTTCAACATTTTTGAAAGTAGTTGAAAGAGTTAATTATATGATAAGACCATGTACAGCTGGTTTGTTAGTTTGATGGACTTTTGATGTGTTTTTGGTATAATGGGAAAGGGGGGAGGGGGGGGAAATGAAGAAATTTCCTTTGTTTTGTGGTAATTTTCTAGTATAATTCCACTATGTATTTTACACAGATGCAAACTCAGAATATTTAATTTGATAGATGGATTGGAGATTTTGACTGTCTTTTGCTGATGATTTAAGCCAAGTGCACAGTTACAGGCATTGTTGCATTTTCAATTACTTAGAAATTAGAATTTTTGAAGAGGGGTAGCAGTACTAGTACATAACTTTACTAAAACAACATGAGGCTTTGGGGCATACTATAATTACAAGCTAAGAAACAAAATTTAAGTCAATAACTTTGTGAAAAGGCAGAGAAAATATAATGTTATGAAAACTGCATTTTTATTTTAGATGTGGTTACTTAACTCAATTGATAAATTGAGTGTGTAATTGCCATTGGTTTAAAATGGCACGCATTTAAATGTTGTTATAATTGCTAAATGCTGTAAACTAATGTTATTGAGTTCTGAATCATTAAAAGAAATAAATCTTTTTTTAAAAGTTTAAAGAAAAAAATGAAATGTTCACTTTAGAATGGAAATTATATTCCTTGGCAGTATGAGTAGGTTGCCTTTGCTAATCTAGCAGTCTGCCACTGAAATTGCTACACTGGTACTCAAGACCTTCCAACTAACACATTCTCTCTCTCTCTCTCTCTCTCACACACACACACACACACACACACACACACACACATATATAGAGAGGAGAGAGAAACATGTTCATGCATATACACATTAACAAATTAAATTGCTTGCACAAGCGTTACTTCTTAAATGTAAAACTGTGAAGCATTAGTTATACTGCAGTAATTTGCTTTGGCTGTTTGTCTAAGTTGCATTTCTGTAATGTTGTAAGGATGTGAAAAACTATTATATATCAGGTAGATTTTTTTTCTGGGATGTATTTGCACTTCACATTGGTGCAGATTATTTTTAGAAATGATAAAAATTGTGCTATTCTGGGTGGTCATAAAAACATGAATTGCAAGCAATTCTCAATCAATATCCTGTATTTTTTATGACTACATTTAATGGCTCTTCCTAATTTGTTTGCCTACCTCTTGTATTTTATAGTCAGTTTTTACCTCATCTGTTATCAGGATAGAAGATCGTTAAATCATTTCATTTTTGCATCAAGTAGCTTTAAATCTTGATGTAGAATTGACTTAATGCAAGTCGTTTTTCACTTTTCATCTATCCCTTAAAATGTTATGTCAATTTACGTTTCACTTTTGAAATATCGATCTTTACTTATCTCTGTTTTGCATATTGACAAAGTGCTGGGCTACTCTCAGACAGTTTTCCAGATATTTATCCTGGGGGAGGGGGGGGGTAGATCTCAACCCCCATGCCATATTTTCAGACTTTTTCTCTCAATGGCAGTTTCATCCATGTACAATATAGTTACTTACATTTAAAGATATGATTTAAATTATCCAGTAAAGTTTGATTAACTAGATAATAAATAGTTTACAAATTATGAATAATTACTTTGTTAAAGATTTAATTAATAAGATGTGTGTAGCCTTGCATTACAAATAGACTAAATTTTTGAATAAAATAAAAACTATTCACTTTATGTGCATTTGCGATGTTAATTCTTAATCAAAGACCAGTGGAAAATTACAAGTTTCAATTAATCATCTGTTGTTATCGACTTCCGTTTTGTAAAAATCTTGTGTACAGTATACAAAGACAACTTGATAAAAAACTTAAATGTAAATAGCAGTAGTAATTCGTTTTATACTTATCTGAGCCACAGGCATATAAATTGCTGTATAATGTAAAGTCACAGTATATTATTAACAGATTACGAGAATTATAAATCACACCATGAATAGTTCTAATAGGCAAAATCCAAGATGGCCAAAAAATCTCACAACTTAAAATTCTTGGGGAAAATTGAAAATGTGTCCTGTTTCCCAGACAATAAGGTATCCAGTAACACCCCTGAGTCATCTGTATACTTGTCATAGTTGTCAGTTATTTCCCAGGGTGGTCATGTTAATTAAACCATTACCATTGCAAATTATGTCCTGTTACGTCATCATTGTGGTGGCCTTTATTATGTGTCCTTATTCTCCCCTTTTGATAAATGTTTGAGCATGTCTCATTTGGTACTATGACTAAATGTACTGTTGGGAAGACTTGGTCAATTACTGCATAAATTGTAATCTAATGTAAAGGGATGTAGAGCGACTCTTTTGATCATGTCCTGGTTGCAAAATGGGGGGAAAATGCAGTGGCTTATGTTAAAAGGATTACACAATCAACAATTATACTGTTTATACATGTACTTTAAAAGGGGAGGAAATTTAAACCATGATTGTCAGATTTCAGTATAAATTAATCGAGCAATTTTTGATGTGAAAATTTCTCTACAATAATTTAACCAATCTGGGAGCTATCTAAAGTGACGCAGTTTCTCTCTCTCTGGATGTAAGAAAATTAATCCTGAGGCTGCAAAACTGTTTTAACCCAAATTAATGTAAAGTAATTCTTCTTCTTCAAGTAATTTAATAAAGTCACCTGGTGGTAAATATCACCACTGAAGCTGAAATATTAAAGGTGTACTCATTTAGCTTGCAGTTTCAAAATGTATTCATGTCCTGCTCTCTTCTGCCCCCACCCCCTCCATATCTGTCTTTGACCACATTCATATTCACACATCATACACCCCATTTCCATAGATTAGATCGACCTACTTTAGATCGACCTAACTACCTGGGGGTTCACACTAAATAGCTGTCAGCCGGGCGGACACGAAAGTTAATTACCCCCTTACAGCTTGTAGTAGGCGGGACGGACATTTAAGTCGGATTATCTGAAAGTAATCTAGTGAGAATCCCCGCGGGGATAGATCGATCTAAAATCTATGGGAATAGAGCCATAGTAGCTGGGTCCCTCTAACTCTGTGGGGGATTCTTGCTTAAGTGCAATCAGTGGAATCATCTTAATTGGCTGACACATCTCCTCAAGCAACTAAGGGAGAAATTAACAAGTGTGTGTTGATTAAGCTGATTCCACTGATTGCACTTCAGTGAGAATCCCCCGCAGACTTGGACCGTCCCAACTAGTATGAAGTGTGAATCTGAATGCGCCCTTAGAGTCAAATTGTACATATGACATTCTACATGATATGAATGAGAATCACAAACAGTACTGTACAGTAGTTTGCAAGCCATAAAGATTGCAGATAAGAGGCTGGATGTGTAAATTGTTGCACCTGAAATTGCATTGTACACATATGTGCATACTTAGAATATACAGTTACCTTATACAGGACCCTAATAACTTTTGTTCAAGTGTGTGGGTCCATTGTTAAAGAAACAGGCAGACTATTTTAAACAAACAGTTAATGCTATACAGACAGCATGAAATGCCTCATACAGGTCATTTTACTGTCTTTTTGACCTCATACATTGCATGCTATACAACTATTCTCTTCACCGGAGAGGAATTAGGAGGAAATTTTGCCATGGGGGTGCAAAAGAAGCATCCACCTGAGCAGTTATTTTTATCGCCAACCGTTCTCTATTTTATTTACCTTTTCAGCCTGTTCGCAGCCCATTTATTGGACATTTATTATCAGCAGTGATTTTCCACTGGGATCAGTACAAAGAAAAGATCCTGTTAGTGTATAGGAATTTTTGGGGTTTTTTTTACTGGGCCTCTATCCTATTTAGTGATGGTGGTACGGGTGCCACTTATTTGACCCCACCTTAACTTAACCAAATCTGTGAATGACTCTCCAGCCGAGGGCTTAATTAGCATACCCTGCCCTATTCAATGAGGGTACTGTAACCAATGAGAAAAGTTTGTGAATGCTGGACAGTCAACACTATTTGTGACAGGGACACAGAGGCAGTCATAAAAGAGCTGACTAACATAATAGAAAACTTGCACTAACAGTAGGGTGAATCAACAGGTAACGCTGTTGTTAGCTCGCTAAGACTGGAAAAGTTTGCTACAGCTCACTGCATTTTGCATTACATTGGAGGAGGATTTGAATAACAAAAAAGGGCAAACTCCTTTGAAAATCTTTTCTTTGCTCTATAACTATTGACATAACTGAGTTTATTTGGCGACACACTTTATTAGAGCTAGCTGCTCGTTTGGAGATCGCAAAGGGACCCTGGAAAAGTAATCGGAACAGAGCAGTGGACATTTAAAGCCAGCTTTCAGCGGATCCACAGGACACCATGGAGAAGACTGATATGTCTCCAGTAAGTTTTTGTTTCTAATTTGTCACTTTTAAGAACTTATAGGTGATAATGTTGGATTTTGTTGTTGTTTTGATTTAGAAGATGCGATTTAAACAGGTGAACTTCAAAAGTGAAATACCCCAAGGTCCTGTTTTCTTAAATGGAGTATTTAAGGGAACCCATCGAAAATAAGTTTGACATTAACTCCTTTTTTAAGGATTTTGCATGGCAGATAAGAGAGATTTTCTGCTTGGGTAGTAAATTTACATTTTGCTTACCTGCATTAAATGAATGTGACGTGGCCTCCCACAGGGTTATGTTAGATTATATGAATCTTACTTGAGTCCTTCCTTTTACATTGAGTTTGCTTGGAGAAATATTGTTTTTTATCTTATCTATTTTACAATTTGATCTTAAATTGTGAAAATGTGGATTTTACTTGATGAAAGAGTAGTTTTTGTATGTAACTATATATTTATGCTCACTGTATCTGTCTTTTGTGAATAAATTTAACTCAGGTGGAAAACACTTACAGCATAAAGTGATACATGTATAGAATGAGAGAAAAATGAAAGCAGCACACATTTATGTGAATCAATTTTTAAAGTTTGTTGGCTGCGTCTTGATGCTAAGGTTACTCGAATTTTAGTCTTAAAAACATGATTCATTGAAATACTTGTTTTAAGGAGATCCAAAATCAAGAAAGATGAAGGGTTACTACCTTTTAAGGTACCCATTAGATATGTTATCAGTTCTGTAGAATCATTTATGCTGTCAACTTGAAAGTACTTTATGCTCTTTTAAACTTGAAAGTCATGGTCACAGCTCAACTGTGAACTGAATATAGCAGTATATATTACATAATATTTATACAAATATATTCACAAAAACCGTTTACTTTTCCTTACAAAAACTGTGTTGCATTGTTACATTTTTGTATTCTTATCCACAATAAATTATATAGGATAAGTATGTATGTCAACATAACTTGTATAGATATAGGCACTAGCAGTTGGAAAGCCATGTCCTACTGAAGACCAATGTAGCTTAAGGATATTTGATTTCATATTTGGCTGCACATAACTTCACGACTGCCTTGGGCCATTAAAACAAACAGGTGCTTGTATATAGACACTGCAAAGACTGGGCTTTATTATAGGTAAATGCATATGGGAAGATGACAACAGAAATGTGTTTGTACATATATACACTATGCTTTCAAGTTCACACATTCACATCCACACACACACACGCGCGCGCGCACACACACACACACGCACACAACCACACAGTGTTCACAAATATGTTTCACTATGCAGAGAGCCAGTTGCTATGCTGCCTAAAAAGTCAAAAACTGTTACATCTTTTCATTCTGATTTTTGTAATTTCATGGTCCATTTGACCAGGTTCATAAAGTCTGCTTTATACATTTTCTTACAGTGATAAAAGCAATCCATTTTATGACAGCAAAGTAAAACCTGCCATATATTTTAAACATATTTACCATATCACTGTACACCTATAACTGTCTGTCAGTATTATTGACTCATACAGTGCACCGGTAAAATTAGTTACAATTTCTATACAGCCATTGTCAAATTTGTCACCAACCTAGCCGTTTCTCTTCTGTGTCACCACTGAAGGGACACCTTTCATTCTTCAGTGAATAAAGGTCATTGCGTTGGGCATGATTTTCTGAAGAATTATAAGAATTTTACAGAAGCGTATAGTTGTATAAAACAGGTTGACAATTACATAATAGAATCTATATGTCTACTGAGATGTACAGTAATTTAATATTACCTCTGTTTACCTGCATTCAGTATGTGAGAATAGGTACCATATAGAGATACAACATGTTGGGAAACAACCTGAAAATTGACACAAGTTTTTTTTCATCCTTTTATCTAGAATCGCATTGGGAATAAGTCTGATACAGCTTAAGTTGTATAATTCAATTACCATATGGGAAATCCATTACCCTGTAAAAAAATTAAATTCATTAAAAAGTAGTAAGAATTAAATTAAGTAAATATAAGAATTGCCGTTTAAAAAAGAGATAGGTCACATCAGTGCGTTTTATAGATATTACATTGTCTATGATATGTGTTAACTGCTATATTGCCTGCCCCCCATCCATAATGTGTGCAAACAGAAGACGGAGTAGGTGAAGTTTACAGCAAGATGGAAAATAGCCACTCTAAAATGGAGATTACATGTTATATACTCATTAGATCCCAAAACTAACTGAACTTCTCCTTCAAATCAATGTACACCCCCATATACCAACAGATCATTCCACAGATATGTAAAGTTTTCTGCAACTTGTAGGTTAGAGTAAGTAATTTTTAGGCTACATACATTTTTGAATGAAAGCAATTTACTGTTTTATCTTGGGATATTAGCACATAAGGGTTAAGCATTGTGGTTACCCATCATTGCAGAAGGGGGGGGGGGGGCAAGATGGCAGTTAACATGAAGATATCCCTCTTTCTTGACTATCTAGATCTGTGAATCTGCCATAGCAAAATGTAATCAATTTATCAAAATTTTACTTTTCTATTTTTTCCTTTCTTCCTTCCTTTCTTCCTTCCTTCCTTCCTTCCTTCCTTCCTTCCTTTCTTTCTTTCTTACATTTTTTTTGGGGGGTGGGGGCTCTTTGGCAAATCAAGACAATAGTTTCTCAACAGTTAAATTAAAATTTTGTAAGGTAATTTAGAATTTACAGAATGTGCATTCTGTAATTTATTATTATCCTTATTATCGAATTTGAACCATATGTAGAAGATAAAGAATCCAAATGATCACCAGATAAATTGCATTTTGAGAAGTACACCTCTGTTTCTTTGGGTAGATGGATAGATAATAACTGCCTAGATAATGTAATTTGTTAACTTAAAGTTGTTATCCTCCAAACCCATCATTTTTTCCCACCCTTTTTTCTACATATTCCAAACACTAAAAATGAACGGTGAATGTTGGTAGCGTGTGTATAATTGCACACACCCAAAGTTAACCTGCAATCAGTTCATTTGTCCTTTAAGGAACTGTTATCATGGAGAGACAGCCAGTCTGCTGGTCTTTATATCATTATACAATGAAGGCATGGCATTGTGAGGGCTCTCTCTTCACACAGAGGTACTCTGTCATACTTAAAGGGCAGCCTTTGGTGACATAACTCCATACTGTCATAGGAGAAATGACCCCTTTCTACATGCCTGTTTGCGTCCTAGTGTCCAAGGATCTATAACAGTCTTCTCCTCTCTGGCTATCGAATATACAGCCTTCATTGTATTTGCTGTCATTCTCTATTGTCTGGTCTATAAACAGTGTAGGTTTGCAGGACAGTTCTCAAGTTATGGTGGATCGAGCGAGGGCATCTCTATAGTTTGAAGATTCATTGGGCCGAAAGGTTCATTGATTTAAAAAATCAACACATTTTCACCAGTTTTTTAATCAAAGGTTCATTGGTCTGAAGGAATATTGCTACGGCCCCGATGTAGCTAGTTTCCAAATAAATGCTTGAGAAATTTTAAAGGGTGCAGGTCAAAGTGACATGCTGCATTCATTGTCTTTGTTCTTGTCATAACCATGCAGGTCCCTTAGAGCTGATTGCCATAGATTTACCTGTCATGGAGTAATTTTTGTTTCTTATAAGGCATGGGGTTTTGCAAGTGTCTGGTGGAATTGTATAATTAAATACACTTAAGTCATCTGTTTCAGCCATACTTCCACAAATAGTTTGTGTTTTTCTACCCTGTTGCTGTAAAGGTCAGTTTATAAAAGCAGTAGCATTATGAGTTCTGGATGAAAGGCTTTTTTTTTTTCTTTTTTATTATATCTGAACAATCAGACCATAAGAAAATGCTCCCACCCACGTAAACAAAACTAAGCAACCAAGGTGATGCACTGGTTTAGCTGTAAGATGAGGTTAAACAAATATAAATTTTATTTATTATTCAGAACATATTATTGTATGCCTTAAGCTTTTTTTGGGGACAGCAATTTACTCTTCCACTATCATAGACTTATTGGTAGCACTTATTACTTCAAAGTTGTTGACACACATACACACAAAAAAAGGCTTTTTAAAATAGTGGATTTTTTATTTAAATCTCAACGAGCATGCCTATGTTGAATTTAGTTGCATGAATTTATAATTGTTATGTCCTTATTAGTAATGAACTGCATCAAGTACCCAAGCTCAAATTTTCCTCCTTTTTGCCTGAAATTGATAAAAGAAATAAACAAATTAAATCATAAATTTGGCTAAAGCCAAGTTAAGGAAAAGTTAACCAAAAAAACTGTATACGGCATATATACAACATTATGTAGCTTTTTTTTTTTTTGTCAGAAGCATGGTGGTTACAGTTCTGGAGTCAGTTATGTAGTCAACATTTGCTGAAGATCTTGGGAAAATTCCTCGAGTGGATTGTTTGTTTTACACTCCACAAACTTGTTCTTGAGGTTGAGTACAAAATAACATGGCCTGGAAACTAGTTTTTTCCCATCATGCATTTGAGCAGTCATTCCCCTCATCAAAAAATAAAATCCTTTGAAAAGAAGACCAACAATACAGACTACAAAAATGGCAATGAAAGAAGGGGAGTGAGAAAGCATGTTCATTCAGGGCAAACTTGATGGTGTTAGCACAGGTGTTTGTTTTTATTTGATCTTCTTTTTGAACATTTAATTTTTTAAAAATAAATGCCTTTTTCACTTGTATCAGGCCATGAATTTATGAAATGGTGTATGTTAAAAACAATTATTTCCATAAAAAAACTGCAAATTAAAGTAATTTTATTATAAAACCTGCTAGCCAGTTTATAGAAAACATGAACACTGAAAGCCTGTTAAACTGTAAGGAAAAAAAAGGGCGTGGCATACTTCTCAGCAGTGGATTGTTGCATGAACCAAAATATCTGCTCCAAGTTATGTTATATGAACCCCCGTAATCCTGTTTAAAGTGTAACACTATAGAATAAATGCAGGCGGACGGCTCTCACCCTGAGAGCATATAA